GAACAGACATATGGTGTCACCTTGGGGTCCCTCGGTGTCTTGGACGCCCTGTCCCATGGGTGTGGGTTGCTGGGCAGGGGTGGTGACCTCGATGTCCTCGGGCGCTTCCTCCCCACCCTCCCACCCCCACCCACTCCTCTGGATCCCAAGGTAAGGGCTGGCTGGTGAAGGTGAAGGGGGCTGAGCTGGGCTCACCCTGCAGGCACTCCGGCTGCCCACTATCACCACAGTGGCCGTGCCCGCTGGCTACGACTGGAGAGACATCACCAACTACGTCATGGACCACTTTGACATCGAGATCGCAGGCGGCCTTGGGCCCTCAGCGGGAAAGGTGAGGGAGGCCTGCCGCTCTGAGTGCTCAGAAACTAGATGCACCACGCCCACACGGAGCAGCAGTGTGTGCCAGGCCCAGGGCGAGGTCCGGCGGTCATCGAAGGGCCCAGAACAGCAGGGGCGGTCAGAAGGGAAAATCCTTCTCCAAACCCCAGGGGAGTCTGGGCAAAGTGTATCCTCCTGCCCCCTTCAACCCCAGCTTGGTGAGGTTGTGGGGTACAGCATCTCCAATTCCACCCAGCACGTCCTTCCTTCCCTCCGAGTGAGCGGACCAGGCTGGAGGCCCCGTGCCCAGGTCGAGCTGTGCCCACTGAGTGGGCGATTCTGAGTGGCCTTCACTGACCGCCAGCTGGGTCTCCCTTCTCTAGCTCTGTGGGCAGAGGGAGAAGAGCCGGCTCTGGCCTGGGTTTGGGGGCCCTCCCTGTGTGACCAGAAGAAGCTCTCTGCTCCTCTCATGTACCCTGGGTGGGGGGGGTCCCCCCAGCCCTCAGTTAGGGCCAGGCAGGGCCCCGATGGAGGCTGACGTCTGCGCCCCGCCCCTGCCCCCCAGGTGCTGCGGATCGGCCTGATGGGCTGCAACGCCACCCGGGAGAACGTGGACCGTGTGACTGGGGCCCTGCGGGAGGCCCTGCAGCGCTGCCCCAGGCACAAGCTGTGACCCAGCTGCCTGTCCCACGCTCACCTGGAGGGGCTGGGGAGGGAGGCAGGAGCAAACAGACTCTGCCAGGTGGACAGGCACCGGGATAGGACAGGAGCTGACCCAGCCCAGGCGAGGTGGGTGGAAGGGCAGGCCTGGGCAGCAGCCCCAGCCCCAGGTGGCCCTTGTCCCACTGTGTAGAGCTTGCTGGAAATGGGCTATTTGGGCTCAGGATCCACAGCACCTTCCAGATTAGCTGCAGTCCCTTGCAGGTTACCTCCTCTGGGAATATTCAATAAAAGAACCAGTTGGTCATCTCTCCTCGGTGTGTGGGGGGTGGGCTGTGAAAGAGGCTGACAGAAAGGCACCCCTGCTCCCTCACTGCACCTTTGGCAGAAGCCCACAGGGCAGATCCTCGCCTGGGGCCTCCCTGGAGCTGGTGGGCTGGGTGTGCAGGGGCCCTGTCACCGCTAGCTCAGCTCCCAGATCTCGCACCTGCAAAACACACTCTCACGCACCCACTCCAGGGGAACCCACAGCCCACAGGCCTGACTTATGACCCAAGTCAAGAACATGGGAGCCCAAATCACCGTCAGGACTTGAGCCCATTATGACCCAGGGTGCATCACACAGACACGCAAGCCAGTGCAGGTGCTGAAGGTCTGGGAGGGCCTCAGCCCTGCGGCCACTCAGCCTTCAAATGTGCAGCTGAGGGGGCCCCTGAGCCCCAGCCTCCTCTTCTTCCTCTACTTGGCTCCCTCTGACCCCCATCCCTTACTTCCCACCCCTCACATGGGGTTTCTGCCTGTGACTGGCTCCCTCAGCCTCTCCTTCCTAGGAAGTTTCAGAGAAGGCCAGCCTCTGATCTCCTCAGGACCAGGTATGCTTTGGGCAGTCATAGCCACACCCACATTTCCAGGTCCTCACTGGTCCCAAGAACCCCCCTAGGAGAAAGGCCAGGCAGGGTCTTCTTGTCAAGGTGGACACCTGCAGCCCAACGTAGCCCTCTTTGTGAAGGGCCGGGCTTGGCCTGGTTCCATCCCTGTCACTCACCCAGGTGTGAGCCGGGCACAGTCGTGTGCACTGGGATAGGGCCTGAGCAGACCAGAGGCCATCCACCCCACGGTGCTCAGGGCCACTGCAACAGATGGGCACTAATGGGATGACCCAGACACTGTCACATCACAGCTGTGATGAGCACAGGAGCCAAGAGGGCCAGAGGGTCTGGAGTCCACAAAGCAAAGGTGGGGTGCTCTTCCAGAGAAGGCCAGAGAGTATGGGGGGCCAGAACATGCAGGGCCACGTGGACCACCTTCAAGACTTTGACCTTCATCCTGAGAGCAGCCCTATCGTGGTTGGGTTTCCCCAGAAGCAGACACAGAGATGAGAATTCCAGTGCAAGACCCATCCAATGGCAGGTGTCCTGTGCTCCCCCCAGTCAATGCCCACCCTCCACTATCTGATTCCTGTCACCACAGGTCAGTGTTGCAGCATCTGGATTTCATGTAAACGGAATCACACAGTACATTCTCTGTCGCGTCTGCTTCTTGCACTTAACTGTTTTGGCATTCGTGCATGTTGTTTCGGGGAACATAATTTGTCTTTGTTGCTGAGTGCTGTTCCATTGTAGGATATAGCATAATTTGTTTATTCATCCGCTGTTGATGGACCTCTGGGTTACTTCCAATTTGGGGCTATTAAGAGTAAGGTTGTAATGAACATTCTTATACAAGGCTTTGTGTGGATGTGTGTTTTCATTTCTCTTGGTTAAATAACTAGGAGGGAATTGTGGGGTCGTACTTTAAGTATAGGTTTAACTTTATAAGGCACTGCCCCAAAAGTCTCTGAGGCTGTTGTAACAGTTTACATTCTCACCAGAAGTGTATGCAAGTTCTAGTTGCTTCACATCCTCACTGACATTTGGTGTTGTCTTTTTTCTGGTGGTGTGGAATTGTATCTAATTTGGTTTTAGTTTGCATTTCCCTGATGACTAACGATGTTGAGCACCTTTTCCTGAGCTTTTTGGCCATTTGTGTATCTTCTTTTGAGAAGTGTCAGCTCAAGTATTTTGCTCATATTATTTATATTTTCGTCTTGTTTTTGTTGACTTGTGACAGTTATTTTACATAGTCTGCATACTGTCAGCTACATATGTCATGAGTATTTTCTCCTACTCTGTGGCTTACCTATTCATTTTCTTAATCATGTCTTTCAAAGAGCATATATCTTCAATCTTGATGAAGTCCTATTTATCCACGTGTTTTCTTTTATGGTCTGTGCTCTAGAGAATCTTTGCCAACTTTGAGGTCCTGAAAACATCTTCCTTTGTTTTCTTCTAGAAACTTTATGGTGTCAGCTTTTATGTTTAGGTTTATGATCGACCTCAAATTAATTTTGTGCATGAAGTGAAATAGGGGTCCAGGTTTGTTTTTATCCATATGGATATCTTCTCATTCCAGCAACATCTGTTAAACTCTAAATTGACTTGGCAACTTTGTTAGTTGACTGTATGTGTAGGTCTGTTTCTGGCCTCTCTCTTCTGTTTCATTTTTGTATATATCTCCATTCTTATGTCAATACTACATGTCTTAAATATTGTAGCTTCATAGTAAGTCTTGCAAGTAGAACGAGTCCTCCAATTTTGTTCTCCCCTTTAAAGATTGTTCGTCCTATCCTAGATCCTTTGAATTCTCATATAAATTTTAGAATCGTCTTGTCGAGAGCTTGCTGGAATTTTGATAGGAATTGCACTAAATCTACATGTTGTATATTTTGGATAACAGTTCCTTATCAGCTGTGTCTTTTGCAAATATTTTCTCCCAGTCTGTGGTTTATCTTTTCATTCTCTTAACATCGTCTTTCACAGAGCAGAGTTTTTAATTTCAGTGAAGTTCAGCATATTAACTATTCCTTTTGCAGATTGTGCTCTTGGTGTTGTATCTAAAAAGTCATCGCCAAACCCAAAGTCATCTAGGTTTTCTCCCGCTTCTAGGAGTTTTATAGTATTTCATTTTGATCCATCTGATTTTCCTGAGGTGGCGCTGGTGACATAAAGTCTTTGAGGGTGGTGCTAAGTTCTGTTATTGCACCCAGGATACGGTACGCTGGACCATTATGGCCATGGGGTGGAGTTGGTTTTAAAGTCTTCCCTTTGGCCTTTCCTCCCATGATGGCTCTTACTCCTACTAAGTATGACCATCCTGATACTCACTCAGACACCGAGGAAATGACCACAGGGTGGGCCTGGACACTTTGTACCTATTGTGAATCAGAGCAGACCAAGATTCTGTCTTCTGCAAAGCCCTCACTCTAATGGCATTTTGTGTCTCCTATATTGGTGTCAACTCAGGCCCTGAATCCCAGTCATCCAAGGACCTGGCCTTTCCTCTCCTCCGTGTGTGGTTACTCTGGTACGTGGCCATAGGTCCCTCTGGAGGAGGTTGGGGGAAGTTGCTGCTACATGTACTTGTTATGGGATTGCAGGTCCCTTCCCAGGAGTCTGTGGTGTGGGCTATGGCTCAGAAGCTGAGGAGCAAAGAGAGTGGAGAGTAGAAAACATCTGCTGGGCTGGGGCACACGGGGGTCACTGGGACCCTCTGCATGAGCAGCTCAGTGGGGAAGGGGCTACAGGCTGGCTGCAGTGGGCTGATGAGAGAATTTGAGGTGGGGAAATAGAGCAGAGAGACTGGATGGAGGAGCTAGCGTCAGATGCCACAAGAGGCTGCCTTACACAGGAGACAGGGCACCTCCACTGTGACAGGAGGAGGCAGACAGGACCAGTACAGGGCTGGCAGTGGGGGCTGTGGGTATCCCCTCTGTCGGCTTCAGTTTCCTCTGTGGACTAGAAGGTGGGGATGCCTGGGAAAGGAGGATCATTCTCAGAGAATGAAGAAAGTGTGAAATTGTCTGTCTACACACAAGCCTCTTTCACTTCTGCATTTCCAAGGGAAATTGTCTCCACATAGATATACACAAAGCAGTAGGCACCGTCTTCATTGTGTGTATCCAGTGCATTAATTTATTCAAGATCCAAGATCCCATCTACAGTATTTCATCACCACAGAGCAGCGTACGGTGCAGGGGGGGACAAGCTCTCGAACTCCAGGTTTCATGCACACTTGGTTTTCAGAGTCTTGATGACATCCCACGGGATGGGTCAACACGCATCACGTGAAATACACGGCCCCTTCATCCCAAGCCTTCACCCGAGGAGACAAGGCAGCTGCTCCAGAAGGCCTGCTGCCCAGCACCCTCAGATCCCACAGGGCCATCCCCTGGCTGGTCTGAGGTGGTCCCTGGGGTTGAAGTCCCTCCACCAGCCACCACCCGCCTCAAAGTGAAGTCTGTTCCCTTCTCCAAATGTCCTGGGAGCCTCCTGTGGAGGTGGTGCAGCCAGGCTGTGGGTGGCAGAGACTAGGCCGCCCTGCTCAGCTCTCCTCACCACCCAGGGCCTTGGTCTTCTGGAAGATGCTCTGCATGGCTGAGATCCGGTCCTTGTCCTGGATGTTGAAGACCTGGAACTGTGGGCAGGGTGGGGGACAGAAGGGTCACAGAGACATCTGGGAGCCCATCACAGGTCCTGGGACACAGAGTGGGACAACTTGCGCTTGCTGACCACAGGGCCTTCCTGCCTCTGGGTCTCCACCTGAACAGTCCTTCCCACAGGTGGACCCACCCAGGGTCCCCTCCTCCGGGGGCCCTTCTTCACACACGGGTGTCCCTGGATGGAGCTGACACAGAGGAGGCCCCATGAGGTGCTTGTTGAGGGCTGAGCACGAGTCATGCCCTGGAAGGAGACCATGTTGGCTCTTTGGGGTGACGATGGGGGTGGCCCTAGAGGGAGGAACGGGAGTGGGCTCTGTGGGGGTGGGGAGGGGAGGGCTTAGCAGAGCTGGCAGAACCTTGGGGCTCAAGGAGGGACAACTGGCAGAGCAGCCAGGCACCCCCAAACACAAAGCCAGAGGATGCAAAGTCCTGAGGGACATGGCCGAGGGACCCCTGAGTCCAAGGATGCAGCTGGAAACTGTTTCCATGACGCCCAGGAACGGCCACACTCCTTCATGAGGAGTAAGCCCTAGGGTAGGCAGGTGGGGCTCTCAGCACTCATCAAGTGTGCATTTGCAGGTGAATCTGGTGGGAATGGGGGCAGGCTCAGACATGATGCCCTGGTTCCCAGATACCACTGGGTCCACTAGTGGGCAGGGGACACTCATGGCTTATCTGACCCCCAGATGTCATGTCTTTCTCCAACAGATGCTCTGGAGGCCTGACCTGACCCCAGCCTTCCTCGGGCTCCTGACCCTGGGGGAGTGGACCAGGGCTCTGTCCCCACCCTCATGTGACCCTGGGCTTGCCCGAGGCTCCGTTAGCAGGCCTTGCCCACCTTGTCCAGCAGGACATCGAAGTAGGCGGTGGCCCAGTAGGTGGGGTCGCTGGCGGGCAGCTGCAGGAGTGCCTTGATCCCGTTGCCAATGCGCGGCGGGGGGCTGCGGCCCAGGTGGGTGACGTGGATGCGCAGGAATGCCTCAGGCTGGCTGGCGAAGCGCTCCACACGCTGGTAGAGGGCATTGAGGTCCAGGCCAGAGTCCTGCAGCAGGTTCCGCTCGGGGTAGAGGAAGTGGGGCAGGTTCCTGGTGGCCAGGCAGCAGAGCAGCACCACCAGCAGACGGTACCCGGAGCCCTGCAGCTCCGCCCAGTCCTCGGGTGCCGGGAAGAGCACCGAGGCCCACAGCAGCACCGTCTGCGGGTGGTTGGGACGGCCGGGTCATGACCTCACCTGGCTGGTGGGGTGTGGCCTGGCCCAGGCCCAGGCTAACACACCCCACTCTGCCCTCCCACCACCCTCACCCCTGGCCACCCACAGCCTGCCACCCTCATCAAAGATGACCCCGGCCCCGCCGGAACTTCTCCCCCACGCTTCTTGCCTCCCCTGCTGTTCCCATGTGAGTCCCAGCCCCTTCCCACCTGTTGCCCCCAGTCTGGCACCTCGCTTGACTCCCTGGCCAAGCTCAGCAGGACCTCGGGGCCCCACCCCAGCTTCCCCTCCATGGTGCCCCACGGTGTCCCCAGGACAGCCACCCAGCACCCCTCTAGCTGGATTCTGAGGCTCCTACCCACCCTCCAGGCCTTTCTCTCATGCCTCCCACCACTGACCTCCTACTCATTCCCTGCAGCTCAACCCAAAAAGCCCTCCTCTGTGGCATTGTCCCAGCCCATCTGTGTGCACAGGATGCCTGGGCCCAGAATACGTCTGAAACTGCAAAAGTGGACTTACCTGGCTGCCCCGGGTGCCCCCACCCCTGCTCCTGAGCCCCCCAGCCAGGGGTTTCTCTCCTCTTATACAGTTGCCCGGCTGCGTCTCACATCGCCTCCCTCCACCGGCCCCCATCAGCCCTTGTTCACTGCGGGGCTTGGGGGCCACTGTGTATCAGAGCCCAAGGGAGCGCTGGAAGCTGGCACTCCCTCAGGGGTGGGGCTGGAGGCCTGAGAGGGGCAGTGAGTGGCTGGCCTGAGGTCACAGGGGGGCTCGTGGCAGAGCCATCTTCTGCCCCAGGATGGGCCACCTCTCTCTTGAGCCCCCCCCCCCCCGTGCGTGGAGCCACGCTCCTCACCACTGCTCACTCAGGGCAGAGACCCCAGGCCTCTGCAGCCCCCACCAGCTTCCCATTCCCCGCCTTAGGGGTTTGGGGTAGGTCACAGCCCCTGGCCCTGCCCTCCCTCGCTCTTCTCAGCGCCCAAGGGTTACAGAGCCCTGGAGGACACAGCAGCCCAGTGAGCGGCAAAGAAGGGGTGCCGGGACTGGGGTGGTTCCACTCAGAGGGGGATCCCCTGGCTGGTAACATTCACACACACAGGGCAGGACGGCAAGGGCGTTGGGACGGAATGGCCTGACACCAGCTGGCGGGCTCTGTGCAGCGCCCTGCAGCCAGACGTCACTCATAAGCCACTGCCTCTCTTCCCCGGAACCTGGGAGAGGCCTCCAAACCTTCCCACACGGAGCTCACTCCAGGCTGTCCACTGTAGGGATCTGGCAGGAGGGTCAAACCTGGGTGCCCCTGCCCCTGATCCCCCGGTTACAGACACAAGCCCAGCAGAGGTGGAGTGGGAGCAGGGCGCCCGCTGAGCCCCCCATGCGTACCTTCAGGTGGCCGAAGTTCAAGCCGGGGCGCTGGCCACCATCACGCCAGCTCTCATGGTTGACCCGGTCCAGGATGGAGAGACTGTCCAGGCGGTGACCCTGGAGGGAGCCCAGTGCTCCAAGCAGCCTCGTGAGCAGGTAGTCAGTGGAGACCCTGGGGGCCCAGACAGACACACCACACTTGGTCAGCGTCGGGCCTCAGCCAGGTGTCTGTGGGCACCCCGCAACCACAACTTATCCCCAGGCTTCTGTGGCCTCCCCAGGATCGGAAGCTCCTGAGCCCCACAGGACAGCCAAGACCACGACAGGGGCTGTCCCAGTGTACCCAGCCCAGCCCTCATGTGTCTTTCAGGAACTGCACTTGATGTGCTGTCAAATGTGCAACGTCTAGTCTTCATGTAGACACCAGGGCCCCAGAACACGGAGGGACGTAGGGAGCCTCCCGGCCAGGCCAGCCTTCTCTGTGTGGATGGGACGGTGCCACTCTGACCCTCCCAGGGTGGAGCAGTGCCTCCTGATCCCCAGGCAGGAGTACGGGTGGAGCCACCCCCAGCCTGGCAGGGTGTGACGTCACTCTATGCCCCCTTCTGGAAGCCCAGTCTCCACAGGGCAGCCACAGGACAGCCGGCGGGCTCAGAATCTCTGCCACCCCCCAGCAGTGCCCATAGCATGGGGTGTCGCACAACAGCGGTGCTCATTGTGGGCTTGCTGAGCGACTGAAGGGGTAGAACCTGGGGACGGCGTGCTACTGGGCCCCACTCTGTGGAGTCTCAATATGGACAGTTGTCCACCCACATGCCCCGAGTCTGTGGTGGATGGGGCACAGGAAAGGCCATTTCCCATTTACTTGCAAAAAATGACTCTGCTCAGGCCAGCCTTTCCCCTTCCTTTGTGGGCAGCAGTCATCCACAAGCCTCGAGGCAGCCCTGCTCTGTGCAAAGACAGGTTGGTGGGGAGCCCCGGGGGGCAGGGCTCATGGGGGTTCTGCTGAGTCTTCCCTAGTAGCAGAAAATCACAGAACGGCATAGCCAGTTGGGCTAATGTCATCCACTTCCAAGAATTAGCTCAACTATATAAGAGCACCCCCTGCTTACTTCAACCCGGGGCCACATTCCTAAAATCTCCCCACAGGCAGGAGAGCTGGCGGGCTGAGTCACCCTGGCCAAATCACCTTGCAGGTGAGGTGCTGAGTAAGCAGTGTCAGATCTGGACAGGGCTCAATCTCCAGCCTTTCGTGTAGGGTCTTGAGGGGGCCTCAGCCTCTGCCCTGTGCCCCCATTCCCTCCCTCCCTCTCACAGACACTGACTCGGGGCCTCCTCCTCCCTGCAGGTGCCAGGGGCCTGCAGACCCCTGGCGCGGAGACAGGGGAAATCAAGAAGAAGCTGCTGGGGCTCCAGGGCCGGGCAGGGGAGGGGCATCTTCAGGGGTGGGGGGACTCATGGCAGGGGACATATCAGATCATATCTGGGAAGGGCAGCCGATATAGAAGATGCTAGCAAAGCCCCAGTGCTAATTCATTAGACTCTGACCACCCTCACTGTGTGGCGACCCCTCTCAGCTGCTCCAGAATCCCACTGGCACCCTGGACATGTCACCTGTCCTCCTTGCTGTTTTCCCACCCGAAAGGAAGGTGCTGGGCTGGGTAAGGAAGGGTCCCATCCAGGGAAGCCTTCTGCACTCTGGGTTTCTCCGAGTCTCTCCTCACAGCCTGATGCCGACCCACTCCCCGGGCGGCAGAGGGCACAGCTCTATTCTCCCTGCACCTCTGAGAGGGTCAAAGCTGGCAGCAGGGAGCGAGCATCATGTCAGATCCCAAATTCCCCCAAAGACCCCAGTGACATCTGTGTGGTCCAGATGCCCATGGGGCAAAGGCAGGCAGGAGACCTCACAGATCCTCCTGCCCAGAGTGGGACCCCACAGACCCAGGAGGCACATCCTACCTCCAGTGCTGGGCACTGGCCGGCACCAGAGCCACCTCTTGGCTGATGATTCTTTTCAAGCTGCCCTCGGGGAAGCCGGGTATCAGCTGAGCCCCCTCCAGGGCGGGCACCCTGTGCTTCCTCCGCACCACGGGCACGATGTTGAAGCGGATCGTTCTCCAGCCACTGGACACCAGTAGGGACAGGCAGAGCTCCTCCTCCCTCAGGCTGGCTGCGTTCAGAGAACCTGCAACGACCCACCCGTTGTGCCGGTCCCTCATCTGGGCTCCGCCCTGCCTCCCAGGACACTCCACGGACCTCCTCCTGCAGCCCCTCGGCCTGTGCTGCCCTCCCCACCTCTCACCTTGGCCCTCTCTGCCCCGCCCCAGCCACCACCCACAGCCTGCTGCTCCTCTGCCTCCACACCTGCGTCCACCCAGAACCCCAGCCAGGCGCGGTTCACGCCTGCACAACAGTTATGGGCGGAATTGTGACCCCAAAATGTCTGTGTGGAAGCTCTAACCCCCAGTACCTCAGACTGTGACTGTGTTTGGAGATGGGGTCTTTAAAGAGGCAACTAAGGTAAAATGAGGCCATTAGGGTGGGCCCTAATCCGCCTGGTCTTTACAGAAAAGGAACACAGGGAGGACACGGAGAGAAGGCCATGTGAAGACAGGGTGAGAGGGTGGCATCTGCAAGCCAGGCAGTGAGGAACCAACCCTGCCGGCACCTTCAACTTGGACTTCCAGCATCCAGAACTATAGCGAAACAAGTTCTGCTGTTTAAGCTGCCCAGTCTGCGGTGTATGTTACGCGGCAGCCCGAGCTGACTAATGCAACAAGGATGCTGTTCATCTGTGTGATTGTCATCTTAGCGATGTCATGGCCTCAGTGATGACAGTGGCATCTGCGCTGAGGTTTTCCTTTGCCAGGTGCCCAGGTCCTCATCAAACGTCTTCATCACCAGTCTCCCTTGCCCTCACCCCTGGTGGCCCAAGCCTGGTGGCTGCACCTCCCCAGGCCTTCCTGACTCCTCCAGCTCTGCTCTAGCCCTGGGACCGTGGTCCCCCTGCAGCCCAGGCTCCCCCTCCCCATGGCTGCCCTCTTGTCAGGAGGAGGGGGTGGCAGCATCGGCCCAGGCTGGGCCAGGGGAGGCCAGGGCTCAAAGAGGAGCAGTTCTGCCCCAGGGTGGGGCCCCTTGGCAAGTGGTCTCTGGTGCTGCCCCACTGGGTGCTGGGTCTGAGGCCCCCATCTGCCTGACACCTGGGGGGTCTCGTCAGGTCCTTCCTGCAGGTCCTCCTTCAAGCACCCCCTGAGGCCCCAGGCGGCTCTGAGACCCGGCAGCTCTTTGCTGGAGGAAGATGAGGCAGGGTCTCTAACGCTTCTCTCTGAGTGGCTGGTTTTCGAGGCTGCAGCCCAATGCCCAGACATCCCCAGTGCCTGCTCAGTCTTCAGGAAAAGTCTTGGAGTGGGTGCTCTTGGTGCCCCTAGCACCCCCAGATGTGACAGCTCACAGCCACCCCCCTTTGGCTGCCAGGCCACTTGTCCTGCAGTGCCGGGATGTTGGGTCCCACACTCCCAGCAGCCTGTAGCCAGGGAGGGACGCACGGGGCTTTAACAGCCCAACGCCTGGGAGGGCAGCCTCTGTAGTCACTCACATTCCAGAGCCCAGGAGGGTCGGGTTGAGGCTGGACTTCTCCTGATCAGACCTGCTCGCTCCTTCCCACCCCCTCCTCCTCCCTTGAAGCTTCCCTGAGAGCCCCCTAAGTCAGCCCCATGCACGGGAATCCTCTTCTTAGACTCTGCCCCTCATACACCTCTCAGGGGCTGGGGGCGTGAAGGACAGGGCTGGGCCCCAGGATCGGTCCCTGCGGGAGAGAACATGTGGGGTCCCTGAAGGCCTTGGCTGGCCAGGGTTGGGAGGAGCCCTCTTTGCCCAGCACCCAGGAGGCCCTGACCCAGAAGGCTGACGGTGAACTGAGCCCAGCCACCCTGGATTCCATTCACTCCCAGGTCCTTGCACAAGAGCCCTCACCTCCTGCCACACCACAGATGACACATTCCAGCAGAGATGCTTCCCGCTCCTCTCCCCCTCAGACCAGAACCCACGCCCCCAACACAGAGTCCCCAGACCACTCAGGAGGGACATTCCATGGGGCGATGGGGCTGGGGCTGGGGCTGGGGTGGTGGGGGGCATTCTGGTATGACCAGGGGCCCTCTGACCTTCTACTTCGGTTGTCCTTTCCCCTCAAAAAACAAATTAATACCAGAAAGAGTGAGGAGGGTAAGCTGGGCCAGCGTCTGCTGTGGGTGGCAGGGGGTACCCTCATCACTGGCCCTGACCAGCACTGGCCAGACCTGGGGCAGTCTCTTCTCCCCTCCCCCAGCACTGCCCAGCCAAGGTGCCAGGATCAGAGGTCAGGGGGGCCAACGAGCTGGGAGCCATGGCCCAAAGGGAGTCCCCAACACGTGCCTTGGAGAAAGGTCTCCACGGCAAGTGAGTGAGCCCAGCCCACCCTAGCCCATCCACAGCCCTGGGGGTCCTGCAGGAAGGAGCCTGGCCCCCCCTTATGTGGACCCCACCCCCCCAATCTCCTGCAGGGCAGCTCCGCCCACCTCCTGGGACCCAGCCCAGAGCAGGTCCTGGCTCTGCCACCTGGGCCACTCCAATACCCATCATGGGCCTCAGTTTCCCATCAGTTAAGGGAGAGAAGTGATCCCTGGCCCCTCTCAGTTCAGCGTTTGAGGCATCTGTCATGCAAAGCCACTGCTGATGGCTTCATTTCCTTATCTACCATTGATCACACATGTTGTCCATTAAAAGGTGGCGTGGAAGGCAGCCTGCCACATCCACCCCTCTCCCCACCACTCCCCACCTCAGCCCCTATCTGGTCTCACCGGTTCCCAGGGTGGAAGCAGCCTGATCCTGTCACCTGGGGCTGCCACTTCCCTTTTAAGGTAAGTGTCAAGGAGTATTGCCTGGAATTTCCCTGCCAGCTCGCGGGGCCTCTGGGTGTGGCTCCCAGCCTCTCTGCTTCCGCAGCCAGGAAGCCAGCTGGGGTGCTGAGGAGGAGCCTGGAGCTCAGAGTGTGCCCGAAGGGCCTGGGGCTGGGCATAGCCTCATGCTCACCCCAACAGGGGGGTCTGTCTCCTGGGTGGGGTGGAGGGCCCACAGGTGACAGGGCCAGGTGGGAACAGCCACGTTAGTTCATGCAAGAAGACAGAAACAGTCCTGCAAAGCCGCCTGCAGTAGTTGGAAGGTTCAAAAGATGACCAGAGAAGATGTCGGAGAGTCCCGGGCTCCGGGAACGCCAAATGACAGGCTCAGGCCACCCTGTGAGGCGCTGTTTATCATCAGCCCCAAGGGGGTAGCCACCTGCCCAAGTCACCAGGCAGGTCTGCGGAGGAGCAAGGGTTAGAAGCCACCCCTCCTGGTGTTGGAAGTCTGTCCAGAGGCCCGGGTACCTTCTGAATCTCCCATGTCAGCATGAAGACACGTGCCTGGCTTCCCCAGAACACACAGGAAGCAGCCAGGAGGAAAGGGTGGTCCTGCAGGCTCAGATGGCTGCCGTCCCCATGCCAGCAGGTGGGCCTGAGCCTGGATGTGCAGCCAGACCTGGGCTCCCTATGCTGGGCAGCCCAGGGCACGTCCCTCAGGGGGGCCGACCATCCCCGCTCACTGAGCTCACGGCAGATGTAAGGACCAGGCGAATACCAGGTGACTCAAGGCAACAAATCTGTGGGAGCAAGTGGCAGTTGCCACCGCCGCATGCCTGTAGCTTCCCAAAGGAAGCAGGACATTTTGTTTCCATTCCCAATGCCCTGCCGGGACGACTCGACCCCCCAGGAGGATGGGCTTCGTCACTTGGGGCCCCCGCTGTCCTGGGCCCTGCACAGGCTGCACCCGTCCTTCCAGCACCATCACGGGCCCTGCAGCCCCTGCTGGAGGGAAGCCCACTGCTCTGGCCCTGCTGGGAGCCCTGCCCACCCCAGGCTCACCACCCCCAGATCACATCAACAAGGCACCCAGAGAAACACTCAGGTCAGATGCCTGGTTCACTTGGAAGTATCCCGCCACAGAGCCTGCTAGGGGCCCATGACACCAATTAGCTGCTGGGCCATAAATTGAAACAGACCTGTGCACAAACGTGCATGCATGCATATCCACCCACACACAGTCACATGTGTGCATACTCACATGTACACACACATACATATACGTGTTCACAATCCTGCACAGTCACGCACTTACACACATGCACACACATACCTGTACACACACACGTAGTCCTCCCAACCCAGCACAGTGTGATCAGATGCTGGAAGTGGGGACAGCTGTGAGGACTGTCACGTTGAGCTGGGAGTGTAACAGAACCACTTGCCCAGAACTGTGTCGGGGACCCTCATCAAGCAAGTCAACTGGAAAACCACATGCTGGTCACAGTTTCCAGCTGTTTAAAAAATAACAGCACCATGTAAAATTAGGTAACATGAAATGCATGACCTGTCTTCTTAGAGGTGTTTGGAACTAGAAAGAACCACAGAGTGTTGTCTCCTGACTTGTGTGCCCCTGACATGTGCATCGAGCGGTCACACGCCTGTGCACACACACACTGCCATCAGACATGTGTGCACTCCCGCACAGGCCCACAGAGAGCATGCACAGTGTGGTTTGGCCGCTACCTGGCGTGATGAGGCTGTGGTGCTTGCAGTGCACAATGGCCGCCACCAGAAGGTCCTTGAGGACGTGCAGGACCTTGCCGGGCACGATGTGGCCGCAGTACTTGGCACTGTCCTCCGAAGCACTGAAGACGTCGTCTGTCATCCACCGCTCCAGGCCGGCCACCTCCCTGGGGACGCCCAGGCGGCAGGATGCGGGGCCATCCCCTGTCTCGGTGGCCCCCAGCTCCTCGATCAGGAGGGCCTCGGCGTCCACCCACAGGGGCACTTCCATGTCCAGCGGGTCCTCCGAGGAGCGCAGGGCAAACTGGAAGGCCTCCAGGTCGTGCGAGTAGTCTACGAGGAAGCGGGGGTCCCGGGCGTGCACGTGCTCCAGCACCGTGAGCAACACGTTCTCCGCAAGCTGGTGGTCCTGTGCCCGGGGCGCCCCCCGGGAGCGGATGGCCTGCAGGTAGTGGTGCCACAGGGGCACCTGCACAGCCATGGCTGGGGGCAGTCAGAGAGCACAGCCCTTGAGGACCTCTCTAAGGCCGCTGTGCATACGGGCCAGGAGGAGGCACCTGCCAGGTGAGAAGCAGGTCTGCAGGTGGGGCACCAGCTCCCCGCAGAGCAGAATTCCAGAGTGACAGGCGGGTGTGGTGCAGTGGGTTAAGTAGCTGAACTTGGCCTAGGCCTTTGAAGTGAGGATGAGTCAGTCACCAATTATTAGGACTGTCACAGGGGCAGGGAGGCAGGGCCTGGTGACTACCTGCGAAGGTCTCACTGGGCGCCTCCCACCCATCACACGGACTCTGCAACTTGGGCCCAAGGTGCATTCAGGCTCAGGACAGCCCCGGAGAAATACCACACTCAAGACTTCCGCCGGCCTCCTCCGGCTGTGCTGTCCCTAGAGGTGAGGGGTCTGTTTCTGGTGTTCCCCCTCCCACCCTCATCCCATAGCAGCAGATGCTGTCTCTGTGATATCAGGGCCACTCCACCAGACTGGGGGGTACATGTGGCATCCCCATTGCTCAGATGAGAAAGAGGAGGCGGGGCATCTCACTCTATCCTCTCTCTGAGGCAGCCTGGAAAGCCATGAGCCTCAGGCCAGGACTGGGGGCCGCGTTTCCATAGTAATCTGAACATCCCCTCTGACACCAGTGCCGGGCTTAAAGCTGGGAGCCTCACACTTGGTGCCTACCACAGCCCAGGCTTGAATCCTGCCTCTTCCCCTGCAGGGCTGTGCATCAAGCCCCCAGCCCAGAGCCCGGGGCCCTCAGGCTGCCCACCCCCCACCCTGCCGGGCCCTGGGCCTGAGAGGAGCTGGCACTCACCTGGGCCTGAGCTGGAGCGAGTCTGGTTCTAGGGAAAGTCTCTGTGGCTCCACCTCGCTGAGATGGAAAGCCACGCCCTGCCTGCTCCCTCCCGCACCTGCGCTGGGCCGCCCCGTCTGGCCCAGCCCAGCTCCCTGCTCAGAGCTATTCAAGTCCCAACCAGCAGGCAGGAGCTGCTCCTGCTGACCCTTGGCCCCTCTGGCTGGCCTTGGGCATCGGGTGCTCCCCGCCGGAGCAACTACAAACAACAAAATGTAGAGATGGCCCCCAGCCAGGTATGTGGAGATACCGCCCTTGCAGCCCTCCAGGGGAGCCCCCGCCCCCACCCATGCATGGGCCTCCGATACTCAGGGAGCTGCTCCTGAGTCAAAGCTGCGGGCAGAACTGGATCCAAGGCACTCACTTCCTGGTGCTTGGAAGCCCCTCTGCGAAGCTGCAGCCCCACTGAACAAGTCTCTGCTTCCATGCCTCCCAGGACGGGGAGCTCATCACCTCACGGGGCACTTCCCTTCCCACTGTCAAGCAGAGACAGCTTTCCCTCCTCAAACCTGGCCCAGTCCTGTCCTCTGGGGTTGCCCAGAGCACATCTGCCCCTTGCCCAGGACAGCTGCTCAGGTTCAAGGACCCACACGCCCTCAGCCCACCTCATACCCCATCTGCATCCCCCTCTATTCCCCACATACACTGCCGTTTGTCGTGGCCCCTCTGTCTGCATGGGACTCTGACCTGCAGGGAGGGTCACTGCTGCAGAGGAGCTCGGGTCCTGCAGGCCTGACGCTGACCCTCAGTCACAGGGCGCAGGCAGCTCCTGGCTCCACTGTCTGTGACTCGAGGATTCGCACGCTCCTCCGCTCCACTTTCCCAGGAACTGCACAGCTCTCCTGAATTCTCCCCTCCTCCACTGGTCACCTCACCCTTGTTGCGTCCATCATGGCTCTTTGCTGACACCCCTGGCTCCCCTGTACCCTAGGCCCAGGCACCTCACAGCAACTCTGCGTCAGCCCTTGGACGTCTCTCAGGCACCTCACACCCAACAAGCTCAACGTGGGTCTCCAATCTTCCCCAGAGGAGAGCAGTGCTCACACCCCCAGGATCCCATCTCAGGGGTTACCCCACTTCTGCCCAGTTAGCCCTGGAGTCGCCCCTCCCCTCTCTGCACACCCATGCCCACCCCCAGCCTGTCTACCTTAGCCCCACATCTCTCCTCCCTGTGCCTCTGCCCCCATCCGAGGCACTCCCCACGGCCTCACGCTTCCCCTAGCCTCCTAGAGCCCGCCCACCCAGGGACAGGGAATCCCACCGTGTGACACTCTGGCTTCACCCCTCTCCCAGCTTGCATTCCTCACAGGACAGGGGAACCCTCACCTCCTCCCCTGACCTAGCAGCAGACCCTGCCTGGCTGACTACTGACCCACTTCTCTGGCCTCAGCTCGGACCCACACCGTCCCTTACTCGGCTCCGGCATGCTGGACCCCCACCAGTTCCTGAGCTGGCCCCCTACCTCAGGGCTCCGCACATGCTCCTCCCACTCTCTCCACCTGCCTGCTGGACTCCCGTGCATTCCTAAAGCCCCAAGGGACCCATTGGTGAACTCAGGCCCCCCTCCTTTCCCCTCAAGCCCTCTGTGATGGGTGGTAAATGCCCGTCACCCTCGGACGGTAAGCCCCACGCAGCTGGGACACAGTCAGCCTCCTCAGTATGGCCTGGAGGCGGCACAAAGCCTGGCACGCAGTGGGTAGTTGGACAACACCGTAGAGCTGTGGGTGAGTGAAGCCCCCCAGCAAGGTGGACAAGAGCCCTGCTTGGACCTGCAAGTGCAGAGAGCGGAGAGCTGGGGAGAAAGAAGAGAAGGACAAGGCTGCTGGCAGAGGGAAGCAAGTGCCCCCTCAAGCCGGCCGGGCAGCATTTGACCACAGAGAAGCCACATGCTTCAGCGGCCTGCCAGCCACAGCACCCAGAACCACCACCCTGCAGAGCCCAGGGGGGCAGTGTGGTGAGGGAGGGGAGGAGGGCCAGACGTGGTCAGTGTCGAGGGCAGATCCGATGAGCTCCATCGGGGTCTTGGCAGCACGGGAAGCACGTGCCAACCACGAATGCCTGTTTGTGTTGCTTCCACCTCTCAATATAACTCAGGGCAAGCGCATGGATCCTGTATTTCAGGAATTCCCAGATGTGCTGGGCAAGAGCTGGCGGGGAGAGGGCATTCCGCCTGAGCAGAGTCCATGAAATGAATGGAGGACGTACAATGGTGGACCCCACACCTTCTTGGTGTGACATGAGTCGTCTGGCGGTGACGACACCAGGCAAGTGTCGCTCAAGCTGGGCGTGTGAGTTTCCTGTGGCTGCTGTGACAGATCACCACAAACCAGGAGCTTAGAACAACAGAAGTCTATTCTCTCTCAGTTATGGAGGCCAGAAGCCCGAGATCAAGGGTGGGCAGGGCTGTGCTCTCCCCAGAGGCTCCTGCAAGGATGCTTCCTGCTTCTTCCAGCCCCAGGTGGCTGCAGCATTCTTGGCCGCATCAGTCTGCCTCCTTCTGCATCTCATGTGGCCTTCTCCTTGTGTCTGTGTCATTGCCCTCTGCCTCTTTCTTACAAGGACACTTGAGATGGCATTTAGGACCCTCCTGGACAATCCCAAATAATCTCCTCATCGCACAATCCTCAATTCTTTCTCATCTGTGTCTCACTCTTTTGCCTTATAAGTCACAGGTATAATAGTCACTGGTATAACAGTCACAGGTTCCAGGGACTAGGAAGTGGCCACTATTCGGCTGACCACAGCAGGTCCACACCCAACCACATCATGTGACAGGACCTCTGCCAGGATGTTGCCCACAAGGCCCTGCTCTCACCAGCCCCACTGAGAGTGCTGGACCACCATGCCCACTTCCCAGCACTGCCTGTCCAAGCTACGTTTATCAAGTCCCCACTAGGTACAGCTCTGCGCTGGCCTCCAGGATGCAAGGACAGACACTGGCCTAGCCACCTAGTGTGATTCCCTAAGAAGGCGAGCCGAGGTCCACACCAGCCACCAACACCCGTGGGGACCCCTCCCTCTACACTAAGTGGCAGGACTTTCTCTCCGGGACATCATAGCCCAACTCCACCAACGTGCCCAGAGCACCTGCAGGTGGCTGCTCACACTCCAGAGTGAACACAGAGCGGTCAGACCTCAGGAGAGGAAAAGCTCAGTGAGAGCGTGGCGAATCAACCACCACCCCATCTGGCCTCAAAGCCTTCGACAGAGAAATGAGGAAGCTACACGCAACGGGCTCCCAAGATGCCTCGGTGCTCTGACAGAGACCAGCAGAGTCTCAGCCACCTGCTGCCCAGAGATCAGCAGTCCTCTCTGCGCGAGACGCCTCTCCTGGGGAAGCAGGCTCCCACGCGGTGTGAGGCAGGAGCTGCTGAAATGGGCGGTCCAAGCAGGGCCAGCAGCAGAAGGCCCCTCCTGCATGCGGCTTCTGTGAGTTTTAGGATGGAACAGCAGGGCTCGCCAAGCTGGACAAACCCAAGTCCTGGCTCCCAGACCATGTCCTGGGTCCCTGCAGCCTTGTCACCATGGGCGTTAAACACTAACTCCCTCCCCCCAGGCCCTGGCAACCACCATTCTGCTTTCTATTCCTATGAATTTGACTACTCCAGGGACCTCCTATAAGTAGAATCATACAGTATTTGTCCTTTTGAGATTGGCTTATTTTCCTTAGCATAATGTCCTCAATGTTCATTCATGTTGAAGCACATATCAGTACTTCGCTCCATCTCATGGCTGAATAATATTCCATTGTATGGGCACACCACATCCTGTTTATCCATTCATCTATCAACAGACACTTGGGATGCTCCCACCTTTTGGGTGTTGTGCATAATGTTGCTATGAACATGGGTGTACACATATCTCTTTGAGACCCTGCTTTCAATTCTTTTGTGTGTATACCCAGAAGTGGGATTGCTGGATCATACAGTAATGCCATTTTTAATTTTTGAGCGATCTCCATCCCATTTTCCATCGTGGCTGTACCATTTTACATTCTCACCAGCAGTGTACAAGGGTTCCAATTTCTCCACATTCTTGCAAACACTTGTTATTCTTCCGCAGGGTTTTTTTGATAGTAGCTATCCTAATGGGTGTCAGATGGTATCCCATTGTGGTTTTGACTTGTATTTCCCTAGTGACTAGTGGTGTTGAGCATCTTTTCATGGGCTTACTGGCCATTTGTATATCTTTTTTGGAGAAATATCTACTCAAGTTCTTTACCTATTTTTAATTCAAGTTGTTTGGGTTTTTTGCTGTTGAGTTGAAGGAGTTCTTTATAGATTCTGGACATTAATTCCAATAACAGATATATGATTTACAAATATTTTCTCCCATTCTAAGAGTTGCCTTTTCACTCTCTTGATAACGTTCTTTGATGCACAAGTTTTCAGTTTACCCAATTTATCTATTTTTTTCTTTTGTTGCTTGTGCTTTTGGTGACATAACCAAGAAATCATCATGCCCTGAGGGGGCAGAGTCCCAAGTCTCCCCAGCACCCCCTCCCCAGGACCATCCCCCAGGGCTTGTTCATGGCAGCCTCTTGGGCAACCCTTTGAACCGATGAACACAGGGTGGGCTCCTCCCCAGGGAGCATCTCAGAACTTACCCCCCATCTGGATACCCTTCAACCAGGCTCAACCCCCTCGTGGTCCTCTGAGCATTAGATGTCAAGAGAGGCCCCAAGAGCTGGACGGAGAGGGGAGGAGATAAGATCTCTCTCTCGCAGCACATGGGCCCAGGGGCCACTTGGGGTGACCCCGAGAGGCTGACCTGGTAGTGTCCCCAAATGTGACCCTCGCAGTGGTCCCTCTGGTCTGACCACCCTGCTACAGGACCTCCACTGCTGTCCCATGGCCAGGCCTCAGCCAGGGACAGACGACCAGGCATAGACACACAGATAGTGGTTAGAGGCCTGGGGCGCCCCCTCTGTGGGCAGCAGGACAGGCAGCTTTGGCACCAGTCAGCAGTTTTGGACAGTACCCAAGCCTGTGCCCATGCTAGTGTCCAGAACAGGGCTGTATTTTGGTAAAACCGCAGAATGCAAGGCCTATTTCCTGTCCAGCACCTGCGGGGGACACGTCCCAAAGAGGCTGTAAACCCAAGTCAGTTGAGCCAGAGACACCAGCAGGAGCCACTCCTCTCGTGAGCGGTTGATGGCCCTCCCGACCTGTCTGCCAGGAGAGATGTCTGCCGGGTGCACAGTCGGCTCCACGGAGGAGGTTCGAGTCCCCAGGGGCACGGAGTCACCAAATGTGCACAGACAGTGACGGAAGGCCAGGTAGATCCCAGAGACCATTACGACTGGCCCAGCAGCCTGGAGGCCATAAGGGACAGAGGGCTCTGCATTCCTCACAGCCTCCCACCCTCTTCCCAAGGATTGCTCTGCCTGCAACCCAACTTCAGAGGACACGTTTGGTCCATGTGTCCCATCCACAGCAGACCCAGCAGCACCCACCCCAGTTCCTGTCTGTCAGGGCGAGGATGAGAAATGGTGGGAATTATGAGGGCTTCACTCCGGGAAGTCGATGTTTTCATGCGAGTTTCAAGGTCCCTTCCCCTCTCAGGGAGGGTCTGGGTCAGGGTGGCAAATTCTGGTGCCCCTGGGGCCAGTGGGAGACAGACAGAGCAAGGCCAGTTGGGTTCTGCCTCATCTTATCTGCTCCATGCTCCAGCCCTGTGTCCCTCCGTCTACACAGGGGCCCAGCATGGCCAGGCCTGTGGATTGTCCAGGAGAGCTGGAAATCCAGAGTTCATAGGTGGCCTGTCATTGTAAACATGGTGTGGGCCAAGTGAAGCCCAGCAAGTTTCCCCGATTCGAGGGGAGAACAGTGACAAAACCCGGCTATGACTCGTCTGTGAGGGGGCCTTCCTCTGAGTACAGACAAGAATGGAGGTGGCCACATGCTGGGCAAGTGGTGATGGGAGAGGCCAGAGCATGGTTCTCGCTGCCTGAGGACGCTAAGCACTTTCCCCAAGCCCCTGGGAGGAGGCTCAGGGTCCAGGGCACTGGCCAGCAGAGGCCTGAGTCCAGCCCCATTAAGAGGAAGGTCAGGACCAACCATCGCCCTCCCGGCACCCCACCTGGCCCACCGGCCCATCCCACAGAGGTGCCTCGGCATGGTGGGGACCTCTCTCCCACCCGCCACTCATTCCAGAATGTCCTCTGGGGGCCGTTCCCAGGCCCAGGGCTGAGCCTTGCTCCGAGGGCTCTCCTTCTAGTCCATCAATGGCCCAGGACCAGAAGCCACAAGCATGGACGCCAAGCAGCAAGGCCTTGGGTAGTATGCAGGGGCCTGTGTGAGCCTCCAGGGGCTGGCCCACAGTGGCCAGGGAAGGTGTCCTGGAGGAGAAGGTGCAGGTTGGGATGAAGGCCTGCATGTGCTGGGCTTCTCTGCATGGCCACAAGGATTTCAGGGGGCAGAACAGGCCGAGGTGGAAGTTAGAGTTGGGTAGGGGGAAGGGGCTCTGGCGGGAAGGCCCCACTCACCACAGGCCCAAATTCCCTGCTCTGCCCAGGACTCCCCTGGTTTTAGCACTGAAGGTCCTCTGTGCCAGAAAACCCCTCCTCCACCACCAAGAAAGGGGATGCCTGGAGGGGCAGTGAGGTCCTCTGAGGACAGTGGGCATGGAGACACGGAGCCGCCACAGGAGGGAGAGGCTGGTCCACAGATGGCCAAGGCCACTCCAGTGGCAAGCCCAGATCCCACTGGCCCACAGGAGTGCCACCCTTGCCTTTGATCTTGCCCTCCAGGCTGACTCTGCAGCAAGAGGGAACTGTCTAAGTCATATGGGAGTCCCTGCCTGGTGCACTGGGGTCCTTCTGAGGCCCGTCACCGTGGAGGCCCACGTATGGGGACCACCATCTTGCTGGGTCAAGTGAAGATGGCTTTGACCTGGACACACGGCTCCAGATCAGGGAGGTCCCTACTGACCTGCCCCTGGCCTCCCCCACCTCCCACTCAGGCTACCAGGCCACCCCTGAACACGGGCTTGTGCGTCAGGATGACGAGAGGCTGGTTTCCGGCAAGTGAAGTCTTATTTCGATTCATCCACGTGACCTCCACAGATGGTCACACCAACCTCTGCAGCCTCTGCACCCCACAACTGCCTGAGCACCCCACATTGAGCCCCCCAGACAGGAACTACCCCCTGATGGCAGGGCCACACCCTCTAAGCCCTCGACCCCACCTGGCTGGGGTCAGACGAGGCCCAGGCTCAGGGAAGCAGGAAATGCTGCCCCCAACCCCTTCCCTCCCACCTCACACCTCTCCCAAGCTCTCGGGACTCAGTCCTTGAGGCCCACAAGGGCTCCAGGACTCTGGGGTGTGTTATGGGCAGCCTTGGGTGCCCGGGAGGTGCCCAGGCCATGATGTGGGCTCCATGGGCTCTGAATCTGGACCTCCGCTTTGTGCCTTCAGAAGCTGGAAGTCATTGCTAGTCCAGAGGAGCCAGGGTCAGCAGGACGACCAGGCCCCTGTCCTCCCAGGAACAGTCCAACGAACCCCATGCCAGCCCTGGGTGCCCAACGGGGCTGTGTCCAGCCCAAGAGCCTGCCTTTCCTCACATGGGGCACCCAGGTGGCTGTCCTCTGGTTGGAGTGGGGAGCAGGGTCCCTGAGGCGTCAGGAGGAGAGCAGAGCGAGAGCTTCCTTTGAGTGCAGGCGCCCCACTTCTTGAATTTTGGTTCTGAGGAAGTGGCCTGGGCCCCGTCAGGATCCCCGCTGGCAGCACTGGGGATGGAGATACTCACCCACTAGTGTCCACCCTCACTGCCTAGTCCCTCCTGGCCCGACAGGCTACCTCCCATTCTCCTGGGCTGAGACCAACTCAGAGGAGCCCAGGTCTTGGGGAGACTCGGGCGTGCACCCATCCCCAGGGCCCCCAAACCCACCTCCTCTCATTCAGTCACTCCTAGCTGCAGGATCCACCCTAGTGCCTGCCCCTTCCCAACAGGGACTCCCGTGGGCATCAGCCCAGCTGGGAGAGGTCTGGCTTGGAATGAGGAGCCCCTGAGGGGAGGGGAGAGAGGGGATGCTGGCATGGCTGAATGGCCGGTGCCAGGTTCAGTCCAGAGGCCCCAGGAGGCCCAGGTTGTGTCTGCAGGGATGGCCCCCGCTGCCTCCCCTCGCCTCGCCCATCGGGACTGGGTCCCACCACACCAAAGGTGAGCTGGAAGTGTCCTGACAGTCCTTTATGAGGCTCTGGGAAGGTTCAGGTGAGTGAGAGGGATGAGTTTCACATGGCAAGTATGCAAAGCATTACCCATGGAGTGTGCTACCCTGAAAGGGCTCCAGAAAGAAAGCAGATTCCAGCCGCATCCAAGTGCAAGGTTAGGGAGACAGGGGGCCTCTTTCGGTCCTTGGGCAGGCAGCTTCCTCTCTCCTGGCCTCAGGCTACCCATCTGCTACATGCCGTCGCACTATTGATCTCTAAGTTCTTTTCCAAATGTTAGAAAAAAAAGTCATAGTTTATGATTATAGATGAGGAGGAAGCGGTAGTCTGCACACCACCTCCGCCTGTGTGTGGCCAACAAGCACACGACTTCTCCCGGGGCAACTGCCAGCGGAAGGCCAGGGCCCTTCCCCGCAGGCCTGGGGGGCTTGAGAGAAAGGCCAGCACCTTCCCGGGTGTGATCACTCAGGTAGACAGCTTCACCCAGGGCGTCTCCCAGTCTCCGGAGAAACGCTTCCAGCCAACAGCGTTCCTTAGTCCCCATGGCAACAAAGGCCTGCACTCTTGTTTCCAAGGAAACCCAGCCCTCAGCGTTGCCGTTGCCACAGCAACACCTAAGGGCTCGGTTGGCCACGCAGTCCTACCAACCCAGAGGGGGCAGCTGGGTGCCCAAGACGGGGAGCCAGGTGCCAAACAGGTGTGGGGCCTGTGCACCAAAGGACCTGGCCTGGCCAGGGTCCCAGGAGGAGGCACGCCTGGCAGCAGAGCCCCAGCTTTCTCTGGGGTCCTGTGCTCCAGCCCGAGATGAGTTCTGTCTCCAGCGATCCCAGCGATGGGGACGCTGCCGAGCGGTCCCGGCTGGGGCTGGACGCCGTGATCCAGGTCAGTGGAGTGGCCACCCTCCGGCACCCTCCCGAGAGAGGCCCCGAGGGCACCTTGGGAGGGAAGGGACCCTGCACCAAGAGGCCACGCCTCCCCAACTGCGAGGGGCACTTTCCACGTGCTCACGTAGTCAGCATGAGCACACACACACACAGGCGCGCGCACACACACACACACACACACACACACACAAGTGCAGACTGATTCCGGAGGGGAACCTGGGGAGACACTGAACTGGGGGCCGGGAGACCTGAGCCCCAGGCCCAGCCTTCCCCACTCCATGTGGAGCTCAGGCGGGCAGCCCCCTCGCCCTGCACATTCGGGGTGGGGAAGGACAGGCGACCCTGCCACACTGACCTTCTGGGATCTAGTTCAGGGCTTTCTTTGTGGCAGAGTGTGGGAGCTGCTGGGGGCTTCCCTGGAGAGGTGTTTGCCATCTCTGCCCATTGGTGGTGGGTGTGGCCCATCCCCTCTGTCTATCTTGTGAGCCCAGAAGTTCCAGTTCTGTGTTTCTTCCTAGTGCCCATCTGCGTAATAACAACAACAATAATAATTATGACTGGGAATTATCCCCCGCGCCCCTCTCCCCTTCACTCCTTACTTCCCAAAGCCAACCCACAGCCCAACTCTGTGATCCCTCGTCTTAGGGCCCACCCCCACAATCACCTGGCTCCAGCCACCACAGCCAGGCAGTCCCCAACCCGACTGACCCCTCGGGGAGCCCAGAGAACCCTGGATGTAGCAGCTGACTCAGAGGTATTAACCCAGTTCTTAGAACCTCAAAACTATGCTATAGGGTGTGGACATGGCCCTACCTGAGCAACATAGGTCATCAGAGAAGAGCAATTGTCCACAGTTGGTGCCAGGTGACTAAGTAACATGGTAGAATTACCACACACGTGCACACACACACGCACACACACATGTGCATGCACACACACACACACACAGATGCCCACACGGGACAGAACAAGACAAGGGTGGGATATTTGAATCAAGTGATGCAACAAGACAAAGGAGGTGGCCCTGGGGGGGGGGGGTGACATTCTCTGTCCAGCTCTGATGGGGTCTCTGAGCACAGGGCTGGCCAACAGTGCACAGAAGGAGGGAGGATTTGCACACCAAATTTTCCCAGATGCTTTCAGCCAGGCGTCCCTCTGATCCTCCTGTCAGCCTGTGAGGATTCTATCATTCCTTTGGATTCAGGAAAATCGAGGCTCGAGGGCTGAAGCAAGTTGCTATGGTTATGGGCTGGTTTGGGGGAGAACCCCAGGATGGTGCCGACCTCTGGCACTGGGCATCGGTGCTTCGCAAACGTGGCTGGGGGACGCTTCTGCCTGCCCAAATTCCTGCTGCCCATGCAAGACTCATCTGCCAGCCACGAGGAGCCCTGGCAAGGTCTGCTCTGCCCACCGGGCCAACACCTGTTATTGGCTGTGGTGATTGAGATCTCGGTGCAATTACACCAGGGTGAGCAGGCAGGCGGGTGCCAGGAGATGCCAGATAGGCCCGTCCAGACTGGGCAGCAGGGCCAGAGGGATCCCCAGCCCCTCCAGCTACAGATGGGGAGACTGAGGGGCTGGGGCAAGGTGTGGCTTGAGGATGGGGGCCTCTGAGGTGCTCCCTGTGCCTGAAGAAGCTCCTGACGCCCCTCTCCCTCCAGCCAGAGCGGCTGTCCTTCTCTGCATCCCGCTCAACTTCTGCACAGGGTCCCGGAGCGCCAGCCCCTCCTCCCCTTAGAGCTGGATTCTCTGAGGGTCGGGACCCAGGGCAGGCAGAGCAGGCTACTGCGGAGGAGCCCTGGGGAGACAGCTAGTGTGGGAGGACGTGCAATTCTGGACCCAGTTCCTCTAAAGCTATGGGACTTTTCAGACTATTTCTTTTGGGTTGGGTTTTGATTAATGGTATTTTTCCAGGAATCTGTCAATTATATCTAAATTTTCAAATTTACTGGCAAAAGTTGTTCCTAATATCTTCTTACTGTCCTTTTGACATCTGAGGATCTGAAGCAGGGCGACCACCTGTCCCTAGGTGTCAAGACGTTTGAGACCCAGGACTTTAGGTGTGAGATCTGAGGAAGTCCCGGGCAGGCCAGCAGGAGCTGGTCGTGCTGAAGTGACACGCCTTTCTATTTCTGATGCTGGTCACTTGTTGACCCTGTCTATTATTTGGACTTCTATTTCATTAATTGGTGTATTTATTATTCTTTTGTTTTTCAGGTCTCTGTCTTTGTGGTTTACCTAATTTTATGAGATGTGTGCTTAGCTCATTGAGTTGCAGCCTTCCTTTTTTTCAATTATTTTTTTACTATTTTTTAAAATTGTGGTAAAATATACATAACATAAAATTTTCCACGTTAACCATTTTTAAGTGTACAGTTCAACGACACTAAGTACATTCACATTGCTGTACAACCATCACCACAGCCCATCTCCACAACTTTCTCATCTTCCCAAGATGAAACTCTGCCCACATTAAACACTAGCTCCCCCATCCCCCTCCCCCAGCCCTTGGCACCCACCATTCTATGTTCTTTCTCTACGACTTTGACTACTGTAGGGACCTCATAAAAGTGGAATCTTTGTCTTTTTATGACTGGCTTATTTCATTAGCACAATGTCCTAAAGGTTCGTCCACATTATAGTACGTGTTAGAATTTCCTTCCTTTTCAAGGCTGAATCAAGTTCCATTGTATATATAAACCACATTTTGTTTATCTATTCATATGTTCATGGAGAGTTGGATTGTTTCCACCTTCTGCTTTTGTGAATAATGCTGCCGTGAGCGCTGGTGTGCAAATATCTGTTTGAGTCCCTGCTTTCAATGCTTTTGTGTGTGTACCCAGAAGTGGAGTTACTGGACCACACGGTGATTCCGCATCTAATTTTTTGAGGAAACTCCATACTGTTTTCTACGGTAGCTGAACCATTTTACATTCCCACTTTCTTTTTTTTTTAAGTGTATGCGTTTCCCTCTAAGCAAGGCCTTAGCTGCATCCCACAGTTTGGACATAATAATTTTCATTATTATCCAGTTGAAACTGTCTTCTAATTTCCACTGTGATTTCTTATTTTATCCATAGATTATCTAGAGGTACGAATACCTTAATTTCCAAACATATAGAGATTTTCAAATTTTTTTATATTTGGTTTAACTGTTCTGTGCTCAGAGGTTTTGTTTTGAACATCTTAGATTGGGGAAGCCTGTTAACATCCAAGTGGAGACAGGGGGAGGCAAATGGACATGTGGGTCTGGTTCCAGGGAAGAGCTCCATGCTGGAAATAGACATCGGGGTTGTTGGCATGTGGCTAACTGAATGGGACCCCACAAGGGTGAGTGTACGTAGAAAAAGGAGGTGGAGCAACTCCCACACTTGAAGATGGGGGAGGCGAGAAGGAACCAGCCAGGAGACCAGGACAGGATGACCAATAAGGTGAGAACCACTGGGAGAGTGGACATGTAGGGGCAATACTTTTTTTGAAAGGTGGGGATAAATTAAAACAGTTTGTGTCAATAAGAATGGTCTGATAGAGAAAGAAAAATCACTGATACGTAAGAGAGAAGGAAGGATGCTGGAGCGATGTGTTAAGTAAGTGAGAGAAGATTAAGTGAGACGGGATGGGGTGAGGTGGGGCGGGATGGGATGAGGTGGGATGGGATGGTGTGGGGTGAGACAGCATGGGGTGGGATGGGACGAGATGGGGTGGGACGGGATGGGGTGAGGTGGGACGGGATGGGATGAGATGGGACGGGGTGGGATGGGGTGGGATGAGGTGAAATGGGATGGAATGAGGTGGGGTGAGGTGGGATGGGATAGGATGAGGCGGGATGGGATGGGGTGGGGCAGGACGGGATGGGGTGAGTTGGGATGGGATGGGGTGGGATGAATGGATAGATGCATTAGAGCAGAGGCTGGCAAACCTTTTCTGGAAAGAGCCAGATAATTGATATTTCAGGCTTTGCAAAACATAAAGTTTCTGTAGCAACTAGTCAACTCTGTAATCGGAGCGTGAAGGCAGCCCTAGACAGTATGTAAACAAACGAGTGTGGTTATATCCCAATGAAGCTTTATTTACAAACAAGTGGCAGGCCAGATTTGGCCTCCAGACTCTAGTTTGCTGACCTCTGGATTAGAGGATGGATGAATAAATGGATGTGCAGGTGGGTAGGTGGAAGGACTGTCATACAGATGGTGGTAGATGGTTAAATGGATGGGCAGGCATGGTGGATAGGTGGTAGATTGGAGAATGGATGGAAAGACATTGCACACAAAATGTGGGGGTAAAAGCAGAACCCCATATTCTAAGAACTGGCCTTTCAGATGAAAAATCACTGGATTTATTTTCTGCTTTTGGTTGAAGTATTGCATGCGCGGAGAAAAGAGCAGCCATCCTAAGTGTGCAGCTTAACTGAGCCCCCCGTGCAACTAGCACTCACATGTAGTAGAGCATTATCAGAATGCCAGAAGCTCCCACCCAAGACTTAGGTTAGTCTTGCCTGTGTGGGAACTTTCTAAAAATGGAACCATGTATATATGTGCTCTTTGGTGCAACGCTACATTTGTGAAATTCACCCAGAATGTAGCAAGCAGGTACAGCTCACTCATCTTCATTGAAATATAATATTCCATTGTGTGAATATACCACACTTTTTATCCATTTTATTGTTAATGGCCATTTGAGTGGTTTCCAATTTGGCCTAATATGAATAGCACTGCCATGAACATTCTGGTACATATCTTTGGGTGCCATACGTATACATCTCTGTTGGGTATATACCAAAAGTGGAAATGCTGGGTCGCGGTTTGTGTATGTTCAGCTTTAGTGGATACTGTCAAACAGATTTCTAAAGAGGTTGTACTGATTCTTAGCGTGTGAGGGGCTGGTTGCCAACACTTGGCATTTCCCACCATTTTCCTATCTAGCCATTATGGTGAATGCACAGTGGTATTGCATAGTGATGTTAATCATCATTTACCTGATGACTAATGGAGTTGAGGA